TGGGGTAGAAAGGAGGAATGTGCTGTCACAGTATAGGGAGAGCAACTAGGGTCACATAACAATGTGTGTATAAATTTTTGTATGAGAGACTCACTTAAATTGTAATCTTTCACTTAAAGCACAATTAAAACAAATAAAGGAGGACCTAGGAACAAGACAGATTATTTCACAGCGGAAGAAACTTGGGGATATTTACATGCCATGGGGAAGGAGTCTGTGGGAGAGACAGGAGGGAGCCGGGGGGATCTTTGATGGAGCCTGCTCTTGGGGAAGACGCGGGGGGCGGAGCAGGTGGAAGGAGGAGCTTGTCCTGGAGGAGGGAAGGCCACCACCTCCTTTAAGGTCAGCCCACTGACCTGGGGCCTGAGGACGTATGGGGCGGATGGCCACAGCCACATTTGATGGAGGTGAGGAACCAAGGACAGTGTTGGTTCTTGCACTTTTTTCTGAGGAATCATACCCGAATGCCGTGGGGGATGTTTGACGTGGGAGGGAAGAGGGTTGAGGTAGCTTGGCAATGACAGGACATGAGCTGTTTGTTGTTATACTTGAGGATGAGGCTGCTCAAGCACATTATAACCCATCTCCTGCATCGCAGGTTATGGGGTAGGTGACGTAAGACAGGGCAGGGACATTCTTTCTTGGCCGTGTTGCCCTTTGAACTCCCTCCCCTCTCGTTCTTCTTGCCGTTACTGAGGCACATCGTGGAATCTGTGTCAAACACTGTTTCACCTCAACATTGCTTGTTTGTTTGCTTTCTGGACAGATGACAAGACATTCCAATGTGAGATGTGTTTCAGATTCTTCTCCACCAACAGTAACCTTTCCAAACACAAGAAGAAGCATGGGGACAAGAAGTTTGCCTGTGAGGTCTGCAACAAAATGTTCTACCGCAAGGACGTCATGCTCGACCACCAGAGACGGCACCTGGAAGGTGAGTGCACCCGCCTGGACTACACTCTTCAGCAGAGGGTGGGGGGTGGTGAGCTCTCCTGCACGTGGGGACGGGTATATTGGCACAACCTCTTTGGAAAGCAGTTTGACAGTGTCGTATCAGGAGCCTTAGGAATTCCCATCATTTGATCCAGAATCTTCCTCTGGGAATCTGAGTCGGAGACAGAGGTGTGTTGGCATACAGAGATGCTAATAATGGTGTGTATCTGTAGAAACCACTTCAGTTGCTAACCGAAAGGTTGGCAGTTCAAACCCAACCAGTGGCTCTGCAGACGAAAGGCCTGGCAGTCTGCTTCTGAAAGGTCACAGCCTTGAAAACCTTATGGGGCAGTTCTACTCTGTAAGACATGAGACCACCATGAGTCAGGGGCCGACTTGAGAGCAGCTAACCACATCAGTAGAAAAAGTTAGAAGCATCCTCAGTGTTCCACAGTGGGAAAAAGGTTAAGAAAACTATGAAATATTCAGAGGATTGGATGTTACACAGTAAATTCAAAGCCTTTTTTTCAAAGAGTTTTTAATATTGTGGGAAAATGTTTTTGCTATGAAAGAAAGTAGGAGAAAACAGTATATGGAATTGTGTCTGTGGTATGCTTTCAACTGTATGCGTGGAAGAGAACATTCCAGGTGGATGTTGTTGGCTGGGGGGGAGGATCGTGAGGGGTTTTCCCCTTGGTCCATTTCCTCTTCTCTGTTTCGCATTTGGCCTCTGGTGAGAGTTCATTGTCCACAGGGCCCCTGGGTGACATGCAGCCGTTTGTAGCAGACTTGTGGGTGCAGGGGGAGGTGAGCTTATGAGAAAAAAACAAAATAAACAAACAAACACCCGTTACTGTACTCGTGGCGACTCCGTGTGTGTCAGAGTAGAACTGTGCTCCACAGGGTTTCCAGTGGCTGATTTTTTGGAAGTATATCATCAGGCCTTTCTTCTGAGGCATCTCTGGGTGAACTCGAACTGCCAGCCTTTTGGTTAGCGGCCGAGCGCATTAACCACTGGCACCACCCAGGGACTCCATGAGATACCAAGGGCGGGAAGAAGATCAGTCTCCATCTTGGGAAGAGTGAGGCAGCAGGACAAGGAATAAGACAGGAACGGGAACGAGATGCAGGGGTGTCCTGCGTGCCCCTTGAGCCTGTTTGCCCCACAGAGCACACCCAGGAAGCGGACGCCCAGACTTGAAAAGCCCTGTCCACAATAGTAGGAGAAGCTGCTTGAGTGCAGACACCCCTCAAGGTTCCCAGCACCCCAAGGCCCTCTGTGAAGGGTCCCATACAGACCCTGGTCCAGAGGCGCTTGTGGTTTTCTGCTCACACAAGCCCTCTGTCTCAGAGTCCTCTAGAGAAACAGAACCAGTACGATGTGTGTGTGTGTGTGTGTGTGTGTGTGTGTGTATCATGAACCTATTCCTTGAAGTAAATCCATTAATATCAGTTGTCTGTCTAAATATATATATTTATTTTGTTAGTTATAGCGAGAGATTTATTTATGTATATGTACATATATATGTTTAGAGACAGAGATTGGTTTATAGATATATATAGAGAGAGAAATTAATATATAAACTATCATATATGTAAAATACCTTCTTTAGTACATTTAGAGAGAGAGGGAAAGATATTAATGGATTTACTTCAAGGAATTGATTCATATGATATATAGATACAGATATATATGTGTCTTAGTTATCTACTGCTGCTATAACAGAAATACCACAAGTAGATGGCTTTAACAAACAAATTTATTTTCTCACAGTTTAAACCCGTTGCCGTTGAGTCAATTCGACTCATAGCCATCCTACAGGACAGAGGAGAACGGCCCCATAGAGTTTCCAAGGAGCGGCTGGTGGATTCAAACTGCCAACCTTTTGGTTAGCAGCCAAGCGCTTAACCACTGCGCCACCAGAGCTCCTCTCACAGTTTAGGAGGCTGGAAGTCTGAATTCAGAGTGCTGGTTCTAGTGGAAGGCTTTCTGTCTCTGTCGGCTCTGGGGGAAGGTCTTTGTCTCCTTTCAACATCTGTGGGCCTGGTTACCCTGGAGACCTCCATGTGTCTTGGCATCAGTCGTCCCTGGATCTAGGATATTCTCAGCACAGGGACCCCGGGCCCAAAGGATGTGCTCCAGTCCCAGCTTTTCTTTCTGGGTTATAGCAAGGTCCCTCTCTTTCTGCTCGCTTCTTTCTCCTTTTATCTCTTGTAAGATAAAAGGTGATACAGACCACACCCCAGAGAAACTCCCCTTACATCAGATCAGGGCTATGACCTGAGTAAGGGTGATGTATCCCACCCTAATCCCACGTCATTAACCACAGGCAGAGAATAGGATTTATAACACATCACAAAATGGAGGATAATCACACAATACTGGGAATCATGGTCTCCCCAAATTGACACATATTTTGGGGGGACACAATTCATCTATGACAATATCTTATGTCTTACTAGCAAATATATATATTTAGAGAGAGAGGGGTATTGATTTATTTCAAGGAATTGGCCCATGCTGTTGTGGAATTGGCTGCCTAGTCCAAAATCCATGGGTCAGGCAACAGGCTGGAGATGCCTGCAGGCTTGTGTCCAAAAATTTGTTAAGTCAGGAGATGGGAAGAGTAAAGAGAGAGGGCGTTCCAGCAAAATGTCCATTTAGAGGCAGAACACACCCTAGGGAAACTCCCTTTTTGCTCTTAAGGCCTTCAACTGATTGGATGAGGCCCACCCACCTGGTAGGGGGTGATCTCCTTTACTTAAAGATCAACTGATTTCATCACATGTAACTACTCCATAACAACAGCTAGACTAGTGTTTGGCCAAATCACTGGCACCACAGCCCAGCCAAGCTGACACAGAAAATTAACCATCACACCCTCTTTAAAGTTAACATTTTCATTTTGGTCATCCTGATTTTTGCTCTGAGAGCAACTGCCTCTTGCTGACCAGCACTTAGTAATTGCCACACTCACTAACTGAAGCATCTTTTTATAAAAGTTTGAGAAAAAAGAAAGCCATTTTTAAAAGAATTGCAAATGGAGTATATACTTGTTGAAAAAAAGTGTCAGATAAGACAGTCATGTATAAAGTATAACTAAATCCATACAAGTATGCCTATAGGCATATCATTGTACCTTTTTTAAAAACAAGACTGGAATCACACCATGCATGATTCTTTGCACTTTGCTTTTTTACCTAACTGTTCTTCATGTTGGTTCATAAAGATCCACAGCTTTTCCTTTTTGATCTGCCACATGGCATACACAGGACCTCTTGTATTGAACTATCTGGAGTCAAACTGGATCCCCACTGAGTAACTGAGTGGCTGTGTTGGGGTTCCTCTGTGTGTGCTTCCTTCTCTGACACACACCAACAAGCCCTAAGTCTCCTCTCTGACACCAGCTGCCCATGTAGCACGTCTTCCTGTGACCCTAACCACCAGAGCTAGATCAGGTCTCATAAGTTAAAAGGGCACAGTCCTCCAGATGCCAAATCTGCCCAAGACTTCAGATGCCAGCTGCAAGCTTGAGGGTCCCCATGACACCCTCAGTTCTGACCTGTTGGCTCCCGCTACTCCCTCGGGTTCAGTAATTCACTAGAATGAGTCGCAGAACTCAGGAAATTGCTATACTTATGATTACAGTTTTATTATAGCAGAAGGAATACAAATGAAGAGACATATAGGGCGAGCTCTGGGAAGGTTCTCAATGTGGAGCTTCCGTGTCCCAAAAAGGGACACACTCACTACCCTCCCACATGCATCGATGTCTTTCACCAACCAGGAAGCCCAGGGAGCTTCCATGTTCAGTGTTTTTACTGAGGTTTCCTTACATAGATGTGATTGATGAATTGACTCTGAGGTCAGCTGATATCATGTGGTGGGTCCTTCTGGCCTGGCTGGCCCCTACTCAAGAGTCACCTCATTAGCATAAACCCTCAGCTGTGGTCTGGAGCCCTCAAGGATAACAAAGGCTCCAGTCAGTGGGGAAATTCCAAGAGTTTAGAGGTTACCTCCCAGGAACCAAGGACAAAGACCAGATCTCTGAATAGAGTTCATTGTAAAGCCCAGAGTAGCCTTGGGCAAGTTACCGTACCTCAGTTTCCCCACCTGTAAAGTGAGAATAGTAACAGCCCCCAACCCCGTAGGATTGGTGTCGTGTGAACACATCCCTGCATGTAAAGCTCTGAGCGAGGCGCCAGCTCACAGCAGGTGCTTGATGGATGTCGGTTGTGGTTACTGCTACAGAAGGCTGTGTCTCCCCTGTTGACTGATAGCCAGGTCGATTCTACACATTTACTCAATGACATTTTACGGCTCACTTGTAACTCAGGGAATACACTAGTGATATGCTTGTTTCGTGACTTTTTTCTTCGTATTGGTGCATGGTATAAGTGCTTCCTCTGACTTGATGTGGAGGTTGCACCTTGATGCCACTGGTCTCTTCTGGGGAAGGTAGCGTGTGTCTCATGTCCGCTGGCCACCACGTGTCTGTGTTAACTGGGCACTGGTGCCACGATACCCAGGTGTTCCAGAAGCTGACCTGAGAAGGGCATTTCTCTCTCTTTTCTTCAGAGATGACCTGTTCCCTGCGAACTGTTTTTTGTTTTTTGTTTTTTTTTTTTTCATTTTCTTGTGATAAAATATACGTAAGAGAAGTATGCCATTTGAACCATTTTTAACTGCACAATTCATTGGCATTAATTATGTTCACCACGTTGTACAACCATCACCACTATCCATTTCCAAAAGTCCTTCATCACCCCAAACAGAAATCCAGTACCCCTTAAGCCCCCCTTACCCCAGCCCCTGGTTTAAAAAAAAAAAAAAAGCTCATTGTGGTCTAGCTGATTCCAACTCATAGCGACCCTATAGGACAGAGTAGAACTGTCCCATAGGGTTTCCAAGGCTGTAATCTTTACAGAAGCAGACTGCCACATCTTTCTCCCGCAGAGTGGCTGGTAGCTTCAAACCACTGACCTTGTGGTTCGTAGTTGAGTGCTTAACTACTGTGCCACCAGGACTCCTTCAGCCCCTGGTAACCACTAACAAACTTTGGTCTCTACGTACTTGCGTATTCTAGATATTTCACATAAGTGGGATCGTACACTGTTTGGCCTTGTGTGTCTGACATACTCCACTCAGGATCATATTTTCAAGGTTCATCCATGTTGTAGCATGCACTAGGACTTCACTTCTCTTAATGGCTGAATGATATTCCATTGTATGGATATACCGCAATTTGTTTATGATACGAACTTTTGAAGGTCTGCTTGATCCCTGTTATGAACAGCACGCCCTAAAACCATACAGATTTTATTATCCGCTGACTTGCATTCTGGTCTTGATTTGACTCAATTAATTTGCACAATATGAACATTCACGCCCTTTTAATAAAGATGTCTGCTACTTACAGCCATCTGAGAGAATCATGACTTTGCTTTGAGCCTTTAGCCTGAGTAAAAATACCTTCAATAGTAGCTCACCGTGACTCTTCCACATTATAAAATTCAAAAGGTGCAAAGCCCTTACATTTCCAAATGTCTCTGATGGGAGATCCGGGTCACCGGCCCTGCAGCCTCCTGCCGTCACGCAGGCACCCTTCTTCCCTGTCAGCTCCCAGCAGTCTGAGAGCTGGTCAGGCGCTGCGGTCAGTTGCTCCTGCCCACACCTGTGTGACCCTGATGTCACTTACACCCCTACGTATCTATCCCTCCACCCTGTCTAGCTGGAAGGGACCCTGTGCTGAATCAGAACGGATCTGTGTTGATGTGCTTCTCACATACTGTCTCATGCTGGGGGGCTGGGGGTTTCAGGAGTGAGGCGGGTGAAGAGGGAAGACCTGGAGGCCAGCAGCGAGAACCTGGTCCGGTATAAGAAGGAACCTTCCGGATGCCCGGTCTGTGGCAAGGTAACACTCCGCTGTCAGTTCTTTCATCTGAAATACAAGCTCACTGCTTTCTTCAGTGAAAACTCAGAGCGTTACCCGTAGAACATTGAGTGGAAAACCTGTTTGGTGTTAACAGTGGGCTTTTGGGTAATCTTACTGAAGTGCCCACTTCATTACTTGTCATTTTGATCTTTTTAAAAAATTTTTACTGTGATGAAAATAGACACAACAGAACATATATCCATTTAACAATTTCTACATGTACCATTCAGTGATGTCGATTACATTCTTCAGGTTTGGTAACCATTCTCGCTCTCCTTTTCCAGATCATTCCACCACCATTAACACACACTCAGCACCCCCTACGCAAAACCTCCCCGCTCCCCACCTATCTGAGTGGGGAAGGCCGACTACCACGTTTCAATCAATGTGCTGGAAATGTCCCTAAATACTATCGTTTTACTTAATTCCCAAGAAAAAGTTATTCTTTTTATTTTTTAGTTTCGTTTTTATGCCACGAGAGGATCAAAGTTAAGTTGGTGTTTTGTAATTTTCAACTTTGCAAAACAGTAAAAGGAATGTATTTAAAACGTGTGCCAGGAAAATTAGGCCAAAAATGCTGATTTTAGTTCTCTTACAGCAGGGGTTGATCCTGCAGGCTGCACGGGCGGTGGTGATTTTCCTAGTTTTTTGCAGGGACGCATAAACATAGTTATTTTCACATCCCTTGCAGTGTGTACAGTACTTGGCAAAACTCTTTAAAGGAAGGTGTTTTGCTCTCTTGAATCACCCTTTATACTGATAACTATGAAATAGTTAATTCTGTATTAAAGATAAGCAAGTATTTCAATGATCAGGGAAGAATTATTCTAGCTTAAGGCGATGATTTGTGTCTCTCCAACACCACGGAGCCGTTAGGACTTAAGTTTAGGAGAACACCGTATTACATCTATGCACCTGGTTACGGTTTATGAGGTGAAGGCAGGCGGTGATGGTGATGTAATGTCCACGAGCCCGCGGCCCCTGACCTGTCCCGGCTCTGCCTTCCCCAGGTGTTCTCCTGTCGGAGCAACATGAATAAGCACCTGCTGACCCACGGGGACAAGAAGTACACCTGCGAGATCTGCGGGCGCAAGTTCTTCCGGGTGGACGTGCTCAGGGACCACATCCACGTCCACTTCAAGGTGCCCATGCCGCTACCTTTCCCTACCTTGCGCCAGGTCACTGAGGCGGGAGGCGCCATAGGTCCCCAGGGTCAGCAGCCTAAGATAGTTGTCTCCCTGGCAAACTGGATCTCTCCGAAATGAGCTGTTCCTCCTATCTTTGCTTCGTCTCCTGCAGCCCGACCGCAGGACTTCTATTCCGATTCCTCCACTGCCGCTGCATTCTGGGGAGAAGGCAGGAGTCAGGGCGGTGGCGTCTGCAGCCCTCCCAGCCTTTGTGGAAAGTGGGCAGTTGAGCGGGGAGCTTGGAGGCAGCAGTGAGGATTTGGGGTGATCATTGAGGGCTAGGAGAAGGTACTGATCCAGAAGAATCAATAGTACCAGTAACAATTGCCATGGAATTGATGCCAACTCATGGCAATCCTGTGTGTGTCAGAGTAGAACTGTGCTCCAAAGGGTTTTCAATGGCTGATTTTTCCAGAAGTAGATCACCAGGCCTTTCTTCTGAGGTGCCTCTGGGTAGACCTGAACCTCCAACGTTTCAGTTAGAAACATTAACCATTTGCACCACCCAGGGACTCCAAAGAAATAATAGGTGGTGCCAGAGGTCCCAGTGAAGATGAGGTGCTGGCCGCTGGCTGAAGCGTCCTTGCTCTCGGCAGCTCCCGGCCCTGAGGTCCAGGTGGAGAGCTTGCGGCAGGTGTAAGAGAAGGCTACAGGGTGAGGCGTTGAGAGCGGGGGTGATTTTGGAGTTTAGATGAAGAAACTTCTGGACCCAACTGGAGTGGTAGAAAGAAAATCCAGGAGGAACCGAGAGCTTAGGGGAAAATGGATTTAGAGAGACCTCGTTGGAATTCTAACTACCTTGTCCTAGCTCTGGGACCTTTCTGATTAAATTAGACTCAGCAAAGGTGAGGGACCTGGCTGTGGAGTTGCAGTGGAGTCAATCCAGACTCATGGCGACCCAGTGTGTGTCAGAGAAGAACCGTGCTCCAAAGGGTTTTCAATGGCTGATTTTTCCAGAAGTCGATCACCAGGCCTTTCTTCTCAGGTGCCTCTGGGTGGACTCCAGCCTCCAATCTTTCAGTTAACATCCAAGTGCATGAACTGTGTTTGCACCACCCCAGGACTGCACTTTATGGATTAAAAAAAAAAACAAACCCACTGCCGTCGAGTCAATTCCAACTCGTAGGGACCCCGTAGGACAGAGTAGAACAGGGTTTCCAAGGAGCGGCTGGTGGTTTCAAACTGCTGGCCTTTTGGTTAGCAGCCGAGCTGTTAACCACTGCACCACCAGGGCTCCGCTTTATGGATACAGAGTGCTAATTACAGATACTTGCCCTCTTGTCCTCCTCAGGGTCTGGCTCTTTTTAACGCATGTTGCCCTTTCTTTGCTAATGGAAGGCTTGTACAGAGACTCAGTTTGTATCAAAGGAGACAGTGGTATAGTCGGAGAAATGAAAACGGCAGGCCTCTATGAAAAATCTCTGTGTTTCAGAGGGAGGAGAAAAGGAGAAGCAATACAAATAGTGAGCACTGCTAAGGAAACCTTTTCCACCCTTCCCAGAATCCTAGGTTTCGGTTAAAAGTACAACTTTGTCCCAGGGCAGTGCTGCTGCAGGGCCGGCCAGGGCGGGGAGAGCAGACGGGCTCTGAGGCTGCTGTGAGGTGTCCGAGACCAGAGTCACTCACAGTGTGTGGGGACTCCCCGGCTGGGGCCTCCCCCAGCTTCTGGAACAGCCCATCACTCGGGGCCCAACCTTGTGCTTTCCTAGCGTGTAGAAGGAATACTGTGGGGCACCTGTGGTTCAGTGGTAGAATTCTCTCCTTCTATCCGGGAAACCAGGGTTTGATTCCCGGCCAATGCGTAACTCTGTCCGTGGAGGCTTGTGTGTTGCTGAGATGCTGAACAGGTTTTAGCAGAGCTTCCAGACTAAGACAGATTAGGAAGAAAGGCCTGGCAACGCACTTCCGAAAATCAGCCCGTGAAAACCCTGTGGATCACAGCGGTCCAGCCCACAGCCGGTCACGGAGATGGCGCAGGACCGGGCAGTGTCTTTTGTTTTGTTGTACGTGGGGTCCCCATGAGCTGGGGGCCCACTTGATGGCAGCCAACAACAGAGCGAACGTTCAAGACGCGTCCCTTGCAGTCTTTTTACGGAGAAATAAGTGGAAACTTTAGGGAGACCCTAGTGTGGTCTCACGGCAGAGACCTTGGAGGTCCCTGATCTCTCCTGGTTGACAGGTGACACTGTTGAGGCCCGGAGATGCTGGGCGCACGGTCCACCCGCCACCAGGCCCGGCCGAGCCCAGGGCTGCGGGCCTCTGCCCTCGCCCCAGGGGAACCCAGTCCTGGACGTCTAGATTTCACCTAAATGCCAGCAGGGTCCTGGTGCTCGACCGTCAGAAGGGCAGGTGTGTCCTAATGTGCAAGGGTATGGGAACCTGAGGGGCCAGGTTCAAGCTCCGCCTAGTGCCTGACACGCGAAGGAAATCATTCCACTTCCTGCCTATCAGAGCCTATGCCTTCTCTTAGGTGAGTGATCACCTGCTGCCGTGGGATGAAGACGGATGAGAACCTCGGCCAGCCTGGTAGGAGTCAGACCTTGTACCTCTGTCTTCCAGGACATCGCCCTGATGGACGACCACCAAAGGGAAGAGTTCATCGGCAAGATTGGAATCTCATCCGAAGAAAACGATGACAATTCTGACGGGAGCGTTGACTCGGAGCCTCACAAGTATAGCTGCAAAAGGTGCCAGGTAGCTTCACCAGCCCCCCGTGAATGCCTGGGTCCCCAGGAAAGGAGGCTCCTCGTGCAGGGCTGCCCACGTCCCACAGGCCTCCTGTGCTCTCAATTGGCGAGCTGTGCACAGGCTGGGATACCCCACGCACCCCCTGTGCCAGCCAAGGCACCCCATATACCTCCCCATGCCATTCGGGGCACCCCACATACCCTTTGTGCTGGCCGGGGCACCCCACACACCCCCTGTGCTGGCCGGGGCACCCCACATACCCCCTGTGCTGGCCGGGGCACTCCACACACCCCCTGTGCTGGTCGGGGCACCCCACACACCCCCTGTGCTGGCCGGGGCACCCCACACA